ATTACTATTGAAAATCAAAAAGATATTTGAATTAATATTGTTTAGTTAAATTTAAAATTTATAATTTAATTCTAGAGAATTAGTTGATAAATTTGAACGATAAGATATCCGACAAAAATCTAAAAAAATTGCGAGATAATGTGTGTGTGTGTGTGTGAATGAATATATAAGAGAATTTATCGTTTAGTTTAAATTTGAGTTGAAAATTTAAAAGTAAAATAAGTAATTATTCATAACTTTCGGGTCAATATCAACTTGGAAGTAATTAGAATAGTCAATTATTTATAGTTTAATAAAATATTCAACTACTTAAATTTTTTGATTGGATAGTTTATAAAAAAATAAATTTATTTTAATTAATGAAACAATTATTTTGATTCACGTAGATTTTTGAAATATGATAAAATTGTACTAAAATAATTATTTTATGGAGTCACATTGTATTCAAATGGAATTTCTAAATAAAAATCTTAGAAATGACACTTATTTTACGATGAATATAATATAATTTATTACCAGTTACGTGCACTGTACAAATTGTGTGCTAATTTTAAATAGACATGTTTTGATGTAATTTTTCTCAATTTAAATTCCATAAAATGTTTTCACTAAATTAATAAAGGTAAATTATATTACATATTAGTTCTATATTTTCAATTCATAAATATTAATTAATTAGCATTTTTAATTTATATATATTAATTAATATCTCTTACCCGTGCGTCGTACTAGTTTTGTATTAACAATCTGAATCAAGAAAATTTAAGTAGTTGTATAAATAATTGTTTATTCCATTTACGTCCAAATTAGTATTTGAATAATTATTTATTTAACTTTTAAATTTAGAATACACAAATAATTCCTTTATATATATATATATGGGTTCGAGAGAGAATGGTGTCCAGTGAAAACCATACAATCTGATCAACTAACGGGAAAAAACAATCTAAAATTTTACACTCATTAAGGGCATATTAGAAATTATCCCCCATCCCAACCCAAGCACCCATCTATCCTACCTATATGTGGGTCCTATCGCACCAACCATCTCCCATTCTCTTCCACTCTTTCTCCCCATCATCGTATTTCTAAGATTTTTGCAACAGCCGACGCTACCTTTGTTTCTCATCCGCCACGCCAGTACCTCCGTCTCCGTCATCATCTCGGCTCGCTCGAGCTGAGGCGGCGACGCGTGGTGGAGCTTCACCAAGAGCTCGACGAACATCGCGTCGTCTGACATGTTGGTGTGACACATTCCTCATCAGTGCCACTCATGGCCGCCATCCAAATCACGCCGCCTCTACAGTCATTCTCCTCCTCAACCACCACGTCCAAATCCGCCGCTGCACACTTCTGCTGCCGCCGCCTTCCAAATCTTGTTCGATGATATCCGGTGAGGCGGCCATCTCCGCCCTCCCCACCGCTGTCTTCGTCCATCTTGACACCGGCGTAGTCCGCCTAGGCCGGATAATTGAAACAAGCAACACAAAAATTAGAGATTGGGAAACCATTCAGAAATTAGGGATATTATTATTTTTTGTAAATTAGATAGGTTCAAAAGACTTATGTGCAAATTAAATTTTTTTAAATATATTGCAATTTAGTTCATGAGTTAAATATGTAAATTAGTAAACGTTAATAGTTGCACATTAATGTTCAGCGCGTTGCACAATGTCACATTTGAAATTGCATATAAAAATACTCAAACTACAGATTGCACCATATTATTAGACAGACTGCATATTATTGCATGACATATTGCACTTTAGTGTAACGGTTCATTCTGCGCAATGACTAAAATACCGCCGAGTGAAAAATTAAAAGTTCACATATTAACCTGAATGCCACTGCGTGTTTGACTAAAGTTGGATTTCTTCTCATCCATCGAAGAGTCCGTAGCTACTGCTATAGGGGAAGGATACTCTCTACCAACCAGCTCAACCTTTGTTGAACCCGAGTTCAAGCTGTAGAACAGCTCAACCTAAGGGTCCCTACTGTAGCTCGATATATACATCATTAAACTCATGAGAAGAGACTAGACAATCACAAATACACGATCGTCTGCCCCCTCTCATCTCTCTCTCTCTCTCTCTCTCTCTCCCTCTCTCTCAGTTCTCATTCGAGCTTTAACTTCTTATTTTTGCTCCACTGGTATAAGTTGAAGAAGGGTGTTTGAGTAATACAGTAGAAGATCCATAGGTTATCAAGACCCAGTGATCAACCACAAGGAGTTGACGAATCACGACCCGAAGGCCGCGACCTGCCAACCCAGCTCCGCCGCCGACCAGCCGATCGCCGCCGTGAGGAGCAGTCGGACGAGACGCGCGACACGACCAGCCACGACGACCCGTTCAAGCGACACAACCAGCTGGCGACGGGATCCGACAGCCCACATGACCCAACGACCTGATCGCATGTGACCCGAGACGTTCCGTTCGTGATCCAGTTCCGTTCGTGTGCTGTTCCCGGTCATCCCAAATCTGTCAGATTCAGAAAGTTTTAAGCTGTAAGTTTTCTACGTCAAACCTTTAGATCCACTGCGCATAGGTTTATGTTTGCTATTGAATTCGTTATTTATACATAACGAGGTCCTCACAGATCCCAACACACGCCTAACCACTTCTACTTTCAAGCCATGAGCTTTTCGAGTAAGTTAACATCGCGCCCCTCCTTCAATTTCTTCTGGATCCAAACAATGTCGAGCGAATGGTTAACCTCCAAAGTCCTCACAAGAGCGGCTGATGTCTTGTACTGCTCTTGGTCGGTCGTCTTTCCCTCGGTGAAGGCTTGCTCATTTTCCAACAAGGCCCCTCATTTCTCCTTGATGGCAAGTTCCTTCTCCTTCTTAGCATGCTCTATATCCGCCACTGCTGCTTATTTCTCCTCTTTTGGGTAGGCCGGTTTAGCGGCTTCAATCCAAAAACTGTGTTTAGCGTCACTAAGGCAACAAGTTTATTTCTGTGATGACTTCCAATACCTTGTTTAACTCTGTTGTCTTTGCCTCGATGCCTCTGTCGAGCACTCCTTCTCCCTCGCATCATTGGCACACCTGCATCCCTCTTTCGAACCAGATTGGCATTCTCGTTTTCCTGCTCACAGCATTGCCCACCGATCCGGTTCATGGCCTCTCACTCCAAATGGAGCTCCTTAATCTTTTTCAGATCGACTTCCCGTTGAGCCTGTAGCGTCTTGGCGAGATCCATCAAGGACCCCATTCGGTCTAGCGCATACTTCAAGGAAGTCATTTCCACCCTCATGTTAGCGTTGTCCCACTACATAATTTCGATCAGGCTCATACCCTCGCCCACCATTTTTTCAAACTCCGTTGACTAAGCCCTCAATGGTATGCAGACGACAATGATTGCATGGACATACAACCCATATAGATTCGGCACCTTGGGGTCACAACAGTGCTAAAGTCGCGATACCACTGCGACTGCCGATCTCGGAATCTCGCTTCCCAGCCCGTTGATGCTGGGTCACAAGGCACCATGCCCATGACAATGCCATCTTGTGGTGGCATGCCCTCTTCTATAGTCGACTTGTCTCCGCCCTCTTCGAGGGCAGATCTGTCTCCTCCCTCTACCTGGTCTTGGAGTGGGGCCATCGGCAACTCTTCAAATTGGGGGGGGGGGGNGGGACATCAACAATCTTTCACATATGGAGTGACGGTTCGACAACATTCTTTCCTTTGTGATGTCGACAGTTTGTATATTGAAAGTTTGGCTTTATTTACAAACATATTATTGATTTTCGACTGAGAATCGTGTTTAGTCAAAATTATTTAATTTGTGTTTTTCTTTATGGTAAATATTAATGCAAATTCGTTTTATTATTTTATAATGTAGATAATATGGTTCATCGTGTTGAACATAAGATTATATACTAGTTGTGTTATAAAATGTAAATTTCGGTTCACAACTTAGCTAGAGTTGAACAATTTATCGTGCACATGAGTTGTAGTGTAATTTTATAATTAGTTGATTTTGACTAATGAATTAGATTGTAAGTTTAGAATATATTGAACGAACCATAGAAAATAAGTTTATTTTATATTTTTAATCACTTCCCACCTATATTATTAATTTATATTATTTTTATATTATAAATTTAATTATTATGTTTTTATCTTACATTTATTTATTTACAGTCAAATATATCTAATTTCATCTCTCATTTTGCGGTTTTTTTATGGAGCCACCAGATTGTTTTTCTTATGAAGCAATCTGCCTACGTGGCTCCATAAGAAAAACAATCAGGTGTCTACATAGAAAAACCGTCTCATTTTGCGGAATCTTTGTTTTCGGATAAGACAAGTTTTTGAAAAAATACAAATCTTATAGCAGCCATTGTCACTGTCGCGTGGACTTGGCCAAATTGAGATTGTCATATTGGACTCCATAAAAGAA